ATCTTCTCCCAGATCAGCATACTCCGGCGCCGCGTGCTACTATTAGTAACGGTGATCGACAGGAACTCGGGCGCCCGTAGCGGCGGCATCGGTGAGATAAATAGGAGTAGCAGCAGCGACTGTAGGAACTCTTGCACGTCGGCCTCATAGGCGGCCATAGCCTTGCGGCAGAGAGTGACCCTGGTAGACGGCGAATCGCTCGGCCCACCGCGTAGAAAGAGCTGGCGGAGGTCGGCCCTCCCCTCGATCTGCCGTAGGAGGGCCTCGTGCGTGCCGCGTACTACGTCGGCGTTCCTCTCGTCCGTGCGCCACGATCCGCCGTAGTCCTCGGCGTCGAGGTCGTCGAGCAGCCGCCACGCCTCGATACCGCCTAGGCCTCGCGCCTTAAACAGGAGCCCGTCGTAGAGCAGGTCCCGCGCCCGCTTATACTCGGATACGATCAGCTTCGTCACGTCCCCTACATACAAGCGGGTTCCTAGGTATGTGATCTCCTGGCCGCAGAGGGACCAGCGCGCCTGGCGCCGGCTGATGGCCGACTTAGCGACGGTCGTGATATAGAGGCGCCACTGCAGGATATAGCCGAACGTCGTCTCGCCCTTCTGGTGCATATAGTCCTCGCAGACCTTGCTAAGCACGGCCGGGATCTGGGCCTCGTCATTGCCCGCGTGGAAGCAGACTGACTCGAACAGGATCAGCTGCGCGGTCCAGATCAGCGCCGATAGGTGGCTGCTATAGTTCCCCGGGTCGTGCCAGCCGCCCAGGTTCCTTCGCTGCCTCGCCGCCTCGTCTGCCTCGTCGTCCCCGAGCCCCTTGCGGGCGCGCTTGTTCTCGCCCTCCCTGCGCGCGCCGCTGCTATAGAGCTTCGTCCGGCTGAGCATAGCGCAGAAGCTGAGCACGGGCGAGCGGAAGTGCGCGCTGCCGACCGTCTGGCAGATAAGCGCGACGTAGAACGCGCGGATAGCGCGCTCGAGCCCTTCGTCGTGCTCGTCGTCGTCCTTTTCGCCGCCCGCCTGGTCCTGCGCGCGCAGGGCGTCGTGGATCATATCTATCGCCCTCTGCTGCCGGCCCGTCGGCTCGATCACGGCACGCGGCAGGACGGGCGCCTCGGACGTGCGTGAGAAGTGCCCGTCGTCGCGGTAAACGACGCGGTGGTAGTAGGCTAGCAGCTCCTTCATCCGCCGAAAGTACGTGACGAGCGTCGCCTCGTTCTTAAAGCACCGGAACGCCACGTCCTTGCCCTTCTTACCGGCGCCCGCTGCAAAGTCGCTGAGCTTCTGGGCCCGCTGGTGCGTCATCTTACGCTCCGTCGAGCTATCGGCCACGAGGTCATAGGCCTTACGCAGCCACCGATCCGTGGCCGCTAGGATCCGTCGGAGGTCGCTCTCGTCGTCGTCGTCGTCGTCGTCGTCGTTCTCGTTATTATCTCGCCTAGTAACGCCGCCCTTCTTCTTAGGTGTCTGCTGCAGGAGCACGCTCGTCGCCTTGGGCAGCCGGAACGACGACCGGATCTCCGCGTCGGTGAGCCCCCGTAGGTGCGTCGGGAAGCCCGTGTAGACGAGCCAGCGCTCCCTCTCCGCGCGACCCTGGCCTAGGTCCTCGACGACGGCCGCCTTGGCGTCGAGGTCGCGGCCTGCCTGCTTCATATCCTCCCTGAGCTCCTCGAAGACGTGCCTCTCGGGCGACGACGGCGGGGGGCCGCTAGAGCCCACGGACTGCGTGGGATCCAGACCCCGCCGTACTTCCTCGCTCTCCGCCTCGACGATAACAAAGTAGTCGACGAGCTGCCGCGCCGTGAAGTACGTCTGTAGCGTGCACGACGTCCACAAGGGCGCGTCACGCGTATAGTGCGAGGCGGTCCGGCCGTGCCTGGGCATATAATCGTGCATAAGCGAGAGCCGTGTCGTGGCGAACGTGCACTTCTCCGGATCGCACGCGCATAGGTAGCCGCCGTACGACGCCAGTCCCTTGATCCTCTCGCACGGCCTCCTCCTGTCCGGCCGCAGGCGCTTGAGCTCGTCCCGCCCGCGTAGCTCGTGCGTCGAGAGCCCCTCGAGCGTCCGCCGCAGCCGCTCCCCCTTCAGCCTATGGGGCGCCCGCCGTAGGTGCGTCGCCCATCGACCGTCCTGGCCGTCGGGCACGAGGCACGTCCCGCAGGCTACGCACACGACCACCCGGTGCGCCGCGTCGTAGAGGAACTCGCCGAGAGCCATGGCGATAGGAGGAGCGGTAGGCGTCGAGTCGATCCGACACGACGCGTGTTATTATAGCTCCCTCTTGCTCTCTTGCTCTCTTGCTCTCTTGCTTCGCTCACCTACCCACAGACGCATACCTTCCGTTCCATCGCCCCCTTTTCATTTTCCCTCCTGGCTGCCCGCGCCCGTCGTCGTCGTCGTCGTCGTCGCCGCGGCCCCGTTATTTCCCTTTCTAGGAAGGACCCCGGCTTAGCGCGGGCCAATTAGCGCCGACTTTTAGAAGTGAAACTTTTGCAAGTCAACCACGCAAAATGCCGCACATCCCTGCCAGGTCACCGCGCCACGCAATCGAGCGCGCCCCGGTACCTGCGCGGCCCGACCGGGGTCCCTATCTAGAAGCCAAAAGGCCCAGGTCATCATCGCTAGGCTATCGCGAAGAAAGATGCTCTACTCTTCAACGGGAGGAAAGAAGACGTCGAGGCCCGTATTCTCGACGTACTCCAGCTCAGCGGCAACCCGCGCTTCCCTGTCAGCCGTCTGATTACGCTCTGGCAAAACGAAAGGTGGCAGCCCGTCATCACCCGTATGTGCAAGACAGCCGTCGGTCGCGACCTCTTCAATATATCTGTGTGGGAATGGCTTGCGAGCCGCCTACGGACTTAGTATTCCCTCGCCCTTTTACATGCGAAAAGGCAACCCCTGCCTCTCCTGGCCACCATGGTGCGGCGGGTGCGGCGGATCCGAGACGCATCCGCGGGGCGCGGGGCGGGCCTTCCTTCCTGCCGGTTCCGGTCAGCGCCAGCCTGACCCACGCCCATTCGACCCGGGTCCGTGCCTTGGCCCACCCCCCACCCAGCCAGGCGCCGTCGAGCGCTCGGGCGGGATCCGCCCCACGATCCTGTCCGTCCCCCGTCGCCTCGGCTACGTCGACAGCCTATGTCTATATGTATGTATGCATGTATGTATGCCCTTACGCCCCTGGCCCCTAGGCTCCGCGCGTCGCGTGCTACATAATATGAGGGCCTCACAGGTTCTGCTCAAAGACGAGGGTGTCACGTGTTCAAGCGGCGCGTGCCGTGATACTACCCTACACCTCTATCGATACACCTAATGCTTAGGATTAAGATATAGGGAGGCCACCATACTATATTTATCTACTGTCAAGAAGGGTTTGACAAGAGTTCACTACAGTAGTAGTTGATACTTTCACGATTCCACAGCCGTGAGAGTTGATGACCTGTAGGGCTTTATCGCGTCCGGAATTGGCCGGTCTAATATTTCTTTAATATAATAAGAAAGCGGACTCGTTATGGGCCACACTATGTAGCAAGACATGATTGACTATCACTGGCCTCGGCCGGCGGAACCGTCGCACGCTGGCTTTCAGTCCCTCGGTGACTGCGCCACGGTTTCTGGTGTCATGAGACGAGCTGCCATTGTTGTGGTCGATGGTAACGCTCCAACTAGAAAGGTCCATCGCACAGTGACCCTGTGTACTCCAGATGACAGTCAAAGCCAACATGCTTGCTAGCATCCAGGTGCTCCTCGCTTGGCACTCACTACCTACTCCATCATTCGGACTTGCAAGCTAGTCAATACAATTCCCCCGCCTCCCGATAGATTAGTATTCAATCCGCCTTACAGATTGGAGTATTTCCAGTATAGTAGGGTTGATCCTCGCCTCGAGCCTACATTTCGTGTTAATACCAAAACAGGCTGGGCGGCTGGAAAACCCAGAAATTGTTTCGGTCAGCCAACGGAGACTGCAATCACCAAGTGCATTCCTAGCTTGTAAGCTCGCAATCCCTGCTGCTTCCATCTGTCTCAGTAACATGCCCAACATGATAGCCACACAATCTGCAGAACAGTCCTGTTCTTTGCACAAATCTTCACGCAATGCGTGAAGCATCGCATTCACTTGCTCTATCGCCATTATTCTTGAGTCTTCGATAGTGTCTGCAGACTTCGTTAGCAGGCCCTATCTCCTTCAATTAAGACGTCGACAGGGGACCAGCGATAGAGAATGTGGAAGAACGTACCCAATAAAATTCTAGGGAAGGGCAGGTCCATGGTCTTCAACTGACCCGGACTATCCATCACAGCCATCTGAGCCATCTGTCGTATGTTCTGCCGTTGTGAAAATACGCAGGAGATGAACATCCAGAGAACGCAGTCTTTTCCGAATGCCTGAGGTGTTTGCAAACTCCGAATCCAACGATCGGCAAAAATCTCGATAATTTCATGGCATTGGTAATAATCTACAATAGTGGCGATTTTTGCAAATGTTTCGAGGTCGATGGAGCCTGGAACGGCACGGTGTCGGCCGTGTATGATATTGAGAACGACGAGGAGTGCCTCACGATCCCATCCTGTTGCATGTAATTCCCGGATTCCAGTAGAGTCGTATTCTTGGCGCCAGGCGGGACTTAAGGCCTTCTGGAATACCGGTGAAGCGAGACACAAGTGGCGTGACGAGACCAATATTCGAACTGAAAAGGTCTCGTCTGTGGAATTCATATCCTCATGTTCGGTATGGGCTAACGCCTCGGTGGGAGCCTCGGTGGGAGCCTCGGTGGGAGCCTCGGTGGGAGCCTCGGTGGGAGCCTCGGTGGGAGCCTCGGTGGCAGTCTCGGTGGCAGTCTCGGTGGCAGCCTCACTCATGCCGCGCAATCTCTGGCGTGTCTCGTGTCGTAATCTTTTCTTCCTCGCCTTTGCACTCTCATTGAAGGATCGTTGTTTTGCCGGCAATGCCGAGTCGTCATGAGGCCATCGTAATGTCTGTGAATTCGGATGATCGAGGATCAGACAAAGGTCCCCGTTCGGATCCAACTCTCGTAGACTGTTTCCCGCCATTGAAAATATAGCTACCAACGGGCAAGCCGCAGTGGAGGTGTAAGAACTAAGAATGAAGACTCATGTCGTAAACGTCTTGGCTTCACGTCAAAGGGCGAAGTGGAAGGCACCGTTGGGCTCCAATCTGTTACGACCCAACATGACTCGCACGTGACTGGGACATATACCCCACATTTTCCACCAATCGTACGTTCTGTCTGAATACTAAGGGGTTTCTCAGTGCTGTTGATTTATCACTCGACGGCTTTGTTCAGCTCTCAAATGAAGAGTCTCGCGATCTACTAGAGGGGGAGATATATGCCTTACGTTATAATACGCCCGAACTACATCCAATTAAGGTCAGAACTAGGCCTGGCTTTGTCAAAGGGATTACAGAACTGATCATTCAGTTCGAAGACGCTTCTTTTAAGTTTGTAGATTTCGACCGGGAGTATTATTAAAGAGTAGTACTCTTATAGGCGCAGTGGAAGGAAGATCGCGACTAATTCGATGATCTTTAGGGTAGGCAAACAGATAATAGAATGACTTGACTTAATTCAAAAGAACTATCTAGTAGTGAATGAAGGCCTATATTTATAGGCGTGAGGGCGCTATAATGCCCTGTAAAAGAGTGGATCATATCGAACCTTCGAATGTTATAGAAGGTTTGATTTATAATAGCGAGTGTGGCAGTGCTAACCTTCGAATATTATAGAAGGCTTTAGAAGCACTGTATTCGTAAGCGCATTCATAAGCGCATTCGTAAGCGCTGTGGACCCTTGTATCAGTCCCCTGAAAGATCCCTGTAAGTTCCAGGGGGCCCCTGCAAGTGTCATATGAGAGGGCCTCGTAAGGCACCTAATAGGGGCATTGGGTCCCTATTTTTAACAAGTATAAAGCATAGAACAGCTCAGATAATTAATTAATCTAGACTAAACTCATCTTAGGCTGTGGACAGTCTAAAAATTAGTCAGTGTTAGTCTTTCAGAAAGGATGTCCTATCAATTCTAAGGGCAAAAACAAGGTTAGGCTTTTGCCTACGGACTTAGTATTCCTTCGCCCTTTTGCGTGCGAGAAAGCAACCCCTGCCTGCCATACCCTACAAGGCGACTAGGCCTCCGCCCTTTTTCTTACGAAGGAAACCCCTGCCTCTCCCACCCAATCACTACATCTACTATGCCTTTCACACAACAAGGCCCCACTTCCCCTATATGGTACGCAATCTCCCGCGCACCCGTAACTACTTATCACTACACGAGCACGTGCACGAGGTAGAGAAGCAAGAGAGTGATAGGAAGAGTCCGTCCCCCGTCTTGCTTATACACGAGTCCCACGGATTCAGAAACCTATTCTACTATTATCTCGTTCCGCACTATGTCTTTCCTAGCGTTACTGCCACAGCCACAGCCTCGCCCAGGCGCTCCGTCGCCTTTCCAGTTAGCAACACCTCCAGCCACGAGTTCCCCTCCCCCTTCCTGCCAGCCGCTTAAGGACGGTCCACTCCCGCTACGCTGCCGGGGAAGTAAAACGCTCGCTACCTTAGGGAGCTGGAACGAGGACTGAATCTCCGCGTCCGCGAGCCCCTCGAGGTGCGTTAGGAAGCCTGTGTGGACGAGCCAGCGCTGCTTGTCCGCCCGCCCTGGGCCCGGGCCCTCGACGATGGCTGCCTTCGCGTCGAGATCACGGCCCGCCTGCTGTATATCCTCCCGGAGCCCCTTGGAGAGCTGCCTCTCCGGTGACGAGGGCGGAGGGCCGGTAGCGTCCCCGCACGGCGCCACGGTATCTAGGCCTCGCCGTGGCAGCCCCTCGTTTATCTCGACTATAAAGTAGTCGATCCGCCCTACGGCCATGAAGTAGGTCTGTGTTGTGGGCTAGGCCCTGTTGGAACAACTTGGTAGCTCAGATTGAGTCTATCTAACGATAAGGTAGGAAAGGGAAAAGAATAAGGAAATTGCTGGCCCCTTTCCCGTGAATACGTTGCGAGGCCCGTGCGTCCTCGAAGGCTCGCACCACGTGTTTAGGTGGTCCGGGCTGGGTCTCGTACCCAGCCGCAAGCAACTGGTAGAACCGTAACAGTCTGTAAAGCGCAAGGCGCCCAGAGCGGCGCTGCTGTCTCCTCTCTTGTATAGTGCTCCGACGCCGTCCTCCTATGCCTTGGCATGTGGTCCCACATCGTCTTGAGCCGCCTCGTCACAAAGTCACATTGGCGGCTGTCGCATAGGCAGATATAGCCACTATACGTCGCTAGCCCGTCGATCGCCTGGCACGGTCTCCTCCGGTCGGGCCGTTGGCACTGTAGCGTGTCTCAGTCCCGTAGGTCGAATCCTGAGAGTATGTCTACTAGTCGTTGGAGTCGATCGCCGCGTAGGCGGTGCGGCTCTCTCCAGAAGTGGCTCTCCTAGTATACCGGGCTATCGGGGACAATGCACGTCCTATACCGCCGGCATACAATAACGCCGTGCCCGGTATCATAGGCTAGGTCGGATAAGGACATAGCCACGACTTGCTTTACATCGTTGAGCGTAGGTAGCGGGCTCCCTTTATTGCCTGACATCAATGCAGCGACAACCTGTAGTAGAGGTCGTAGAAGATTCCCATACAACGCGATTTCGCGCTAGTGAAGACAGGGGCTTGAGGTTGTAGAAGATTAAGGGGTTGAGGTCGTAGAAAATGCAGCGCGGCTATTGGGTGCATGAAGTTGAAGTGACCCCACTTGTCATTTCCCAGTGCTGGGTGCAATCGCACGCTGCATGCAGGCGCAATACATCGTCGTCGTTGCTCTGGTCCTTGGATATCGACATGTACTTCTCCGCATGCTGCCGTGTCGCGTTCGTTCCAGCATTCGCGTCTGACTGGGGTTGTGAATCAACGTTATCCTGCTCGAGCAACCACTCTGACACCTGCGAGAATGCCAGCCTAGCCTCGGCATTGTGAGGTGTGAGTATAAGGGTAGCCTCGTTAGCGACGGAGACTGGCCCCGCGGGATCCTCGTTAGTGCGCTGGCTACTAGGGATATCGTCGTTCATCGTGTGTCGGAATGTTCATCAGGCAGAGTGGTTCTGTTCAGCGAGGGGCGGGGTCACTGGGGCCCCGCACGTTACGATCCATACCCACGTCAGGTTGTGCCTTGTTGCCTGGACTCTGCTGCTCTGTTTTTATCGCACAGAGTGAATTCCGGCCTTCGCACAATCATCAAGCATGCTGCATTCCCACGATAGCCTCCTTAAGACGACCCCGTGCGGTGGCGCACTGCGGGCTCTCCGTCGTGGCTTAAACCGCTAGTGTATTAGACGCTCCTCGTTTCGATAATCCCGTCTGACCAAGCCCTTAGCGACCATCGCACTCGCCCCTCTCTTGCGGTGCGCTTCCAATCCTCCGTCACGTATAGAGATACCACTTACACGAGCAGATACTTCATATAGAGTCCCCTAGGGCTCGAACGGCTCGTCTCGATCTTGGTGGTCATGGAACCCAGTTCGACTCCCAATGGTACGGATCTGTGAGACTCTTTCTGCCACAGTCTGTGTGATCTCTTTGCTCAGACTAGAGTCGCATCCCCCATTGACACCGGATTGTTCGCCGGGGGAGGTCGCCGGTCTGGAGACTTAATCCGGGCGTGTTTCTTTCGAGCAGCAGCAGAGGGCTTTGAAGATACTCATATTAGGGCAACGGCAGAGACTTTAGGAAAGTGAGCAAGAGCTACTGTACTAGTACTTGGCCATTTCATAAAGATTAAAAGGAGCTCACTCCTCGGTTGCCATTATTTCTCGCGTTTAAGAGCCGCACTATCGGCTCCACATGTTTTTCTCAAAATGACTTCGCTGCATCGTGGCTAGATTCAAAGTCTACGGGCTATTTCACATTCTGCCTCTTCCTCCGTCTCAGATTAGGAGTTAAGTGATTCAAGGTCGGAAGTTGAGTCGCATAAGGCCTACTGGCTCTATTCCTGGAGGGCTTACCGTTAGTACTAAGCACGGTATTATTCCCCGGAGTTTCATCATCAATCTGCCACACAAAATGGCCTAGGTGGCCCGTGCTTTGATGATGGGCAGATTGATGAACAGCGCGATTTGATTGGCGCGCCGGAAAGCGTGTTTATAGACTCCTACCCTGCGGCCTGGACCGAGATACTGATCCCAGTGATATTCATTTCTTAGATGCTCCCGGATCTTTCTTCTTGACGCGGCGACAGTCATCCGTATAGGGACAACGAAGACCATTTTTACCTGGACGGCCGAGTGCGTCGATAGATTTATAATCCTCATTTAGTGTTAGTGTGTGGTGAAGCTCCTCGTCTTCGTCAGCAATAATGAGTCATTCGGCTCAGATTATCGCTTTGTTGATCTCCTGTTTCGTAAGTCAGAGAAAGGAAAATACCAGAGGCTGGCCTCTGGGTCTTTTTATCCTATAGCTATCCTACCTATAAATCTCAGCGTTGAAGCCCCTGAGTACCCTACCGAGAATCACGGTCCCTGCTAATTGATTAGACCACCGAGGCTTCACCGTATGCCTTGAGCTTGGACCCGAAAACCGGGTTTTACTACAAGCTTCGAGCTCAAATCACACGCCTCTACCAGTATCAAACGAGATAATAATTGTATCAGTAAAAGCGTAAAAGTCTGAATTAATATATACTCTAATTTCAATATCTTGGATACTCTATGGCCGGATTTTTCTAAATGTCCCCTGCCACCTGAAAAGAAACCTCCCTACCCCAAGTCATGCTAGCGCCGAATGATTATCCGCTCAAAAGAAACGTCCCCTGGGCAGGGGACGTTGACAATAACAGTTAGGGGTTACAGGGGGTCGCACTATGAAGCAAAAAGGATTGAGGAATAGTAGTCAGTAGGCCAACACATTGAACTTCGGCACTTTGATCTTCTAGAGCCACTTCGCCCATAACCTTGTTCGTGTGTGTACGGCATGTTATTCCCCAGCTTGCAGCTTCGTAGCCATTGCAATTGTGCTTCATTCTAGTCCTTCACTCTGAATTGACAGTCAAGTCAGCTTTTGGTAAGCCTTTTTGAAAGAAGGTAGGGTCTGCGGCTGTCCCGGAGGCGCATTTGTGATCCGGGGCAACCTGAAACCTCTTCTCTTTTTCAATCTCGAGTGGTAGCGCCGATAGCAAGCCAGTCGAGTTCTGCCGAGAAGTTGTGCAATTTTCTTCCACCCCCAACCTCTTCTTTCCACAAGTTCTATGATTTGATGATCCTGCTCAGGGGTCCATTCACCCCTTGGCATATTGGACGAATTGGTTAATTGGCTATAGAAAAATTTGGATCACCCAACAGTATTTATTTCTCTGCTATAGTAGTCTCTAAGGAGCCCTTATGTGCGTATTACGTTCAAACGGCATTTGCGGCCGAAAATTGATGTTCAACATGCTATTTGAGGCTGATTAAGAGACGGGGCTTGAAGCATAGCCACAAGTGCCCGCTCTCCCATGTTCGGAGCTTCGAGTCATGGCCGCCGATATCTGTTAATTGTCAATTCCAGTCACTGATTCTCGCGTGCGGGCTACTGTTACAGTAGTCTCGGGAAGCGGATGCGGCCTCACGCTTCTGATTTCAGCTTTCGGCTGCAAGTTGTGGTGAAAAGACATGTTCGACTTTCAAAAGTGGCCGAAAAGTTCCGCCTTATCTCAGCCAGTCGTTTGATCATCGACGCGTCTGATAAGGACCGACAAAACAGAGCACCTGCAGATCTGGTCGGATGCGTTGCAGCCTCCGTAGAGCTCTCTTGGGCACGCAGTCGATCCATTTTTAGCATCGCTTGACCTCCTGCTCGAAGCTGTTGCTGGTCCTCTTAGAAGTAGCTTCTCCCTCTCGGATCCGGATCACCAAGTAGCTTCTGCGCCTGGGCCCGCAAAACTGGCGATGGCTTTAACCCCAGCCATACCGTTGCTTCAGCGATGGAGACGAGACTGCGGTCCCCAAAGCACTCAATCCACTTTGATTCCTTAACCCAAACCGAGTCCCGGTCGATATAATCGTCGCGATCACCCTTCCGTAGCGGCTCCACGTCTTGGGCGTCTAGTAGTTGCTGCCTTGTGCTCGAAATGTTTTACCATTTCCGCGAGCTCTTTATCCTTGACCTGGTGTTTATGTCGAGAATGCGAACCGATTTAAATATCGGGTCGCACAGCAGCCTTACATTCATTACATATAAGAACTTGATGCTCGTCACTGAGTGTAATCCAGTGGTGCATTATGCGCAGTAATGGGGTCATCTGAAGAACTTTGAGAAGTAAAGGACTATGTTGGTGGTGAGAACGCTTGGCAGCTGTGCGCCGCCGTTGCCAGTTTTATTATGATTCGACTGAACACTACGTACTACTGTACGCCTTGCGTACCTATTACGAGTTTCATCTCATCAGCCTTGTCCTACAACCCTTGGACCCTGAATCTCGGGTTGGCGGGAAAGGGGGTAGCCCAAATCCTACGGCCAATTAACCTGCTCCAACGAAATCTGGTCTAAATTGGTATCCACTTTAACCCGCCACCACCACCGATTGTACTAGAATCGCCGGCGGATGGAGGCTAGGGTTAGTAACGGTCTCTTCGCTATGAGAAGTGTCTATCGCGTGAATAGATAGTAGAAAGAATTACTACATAATGGGGGTAAACTACTGTGGCTATACCTTACTACTTTATACCTCTCTTTTAATCCTCTTTCCCTCCTCCTCCTCCTCCTTCTTTTTCGTATTACTTTGATGTCCTTTGTCGCTCCAACCGTCTTCGTTCCTTTTTTCAACCTGAGCGCTATTGCCCCTTCGAGAAGGGTTCGACACAGCCGGCCAATCACCGTCGACTTTTACAAGTCAACCTTTTTGAAGTCAACCACCAAAGCCCTCGACCCCCCCGTCATGTCATTTCCCCCGCGAATTGCGCCCGTCGAGGTACCTGCCGCGCCCCGTAAGGGGTATCCTTTTGGGGAACGATTGCTGCTATTATTGGCTGCAAAGGTCGTTCTCCTCAAATTCTACTTTTGAACCTAATCGTAGTGTTTGAAGATCTGGTCGCTCTCTTTCATAATAAGCCCTGTGAATTTTGTTTCCCGTATGTATCTAAGCCAATAATGACATTTGTTTGCGCAGCGCGGTGAGTTTTCGTAAAGATTAATTAATCCTTGCGCTTAAGGTGCTTTGATATTAGATGCCATACTTCAGTTAAAAAGGTCATATCTAAGTTTATCGATAGTAGTTTAGAATACGATATCTAGCGCCCATTACGTTCACTCAAAAGGCAGATCTATTATCTCAATGTAAGGCCACGATTCCGTCTTGAATATCGTGGTCCCCATAGCTACAATGGCCACAGCTATCTCGGAGGTATATTTCTGCACTTGCTGTTGCATGCAAAACTATAGCCATGACTGAAACGGGCAATGACCCTATACAATATACTCCGTACCTCGCGCTCGTGTCGTCTATCCCTGGGCGTACTGTGCGTCTCCACTGCGTCCAGAAATAGCATTTGTTATACTTCTCTACATCCCAGGAAATCGGACACTCGTTTTGGACCTTACTGTATTGAAGACACCAAATAAGGTGGCTGAGGCTGCTTTGCCGAGCTCGCCGCAAACTCTGAAGACATAGGTTACGGTCCGTTATAACGCTGAGCTGGCGTGTCTGAGGGTGGCCCTAAATGGGGCTTTCACGGCGATCACCCTTTCCTTTGATGGATAAGCTTCCTCTAACGATTACACTATTTTAGGCGTTATTGCGTATTAGATTCATAGCCAAGGAGTATACCGATCGAACCTCCTTGGCTTCGAGGAGATAGATAGCGCTCATTTAGGAGAAAATCAAGCTTCATTAGTGAGGGATCTCTGCAAGAAGGTTGGCCTGCTAATCGCGAGATTAGGCTCCTTCATGCTTGATAACATCACCTCGAACGGCACGGCGGCCACAGCCATCTTCACAAGTGAGCCAAATACACCCTCAGCGCAATATGTGGGACAGCAGGCCTAAAGAGCCCGGCTACAGTACTAGGCACACTGTATTAATCTCGTGGCCAAGGAACTTCTGTTTTACACCAAACGATCAGCTACATTAAGGGCTACCGTTGTATACGAAGACAACCCCGATTACGATAGTGATGCTGCGTGGTGTGAGGTTGGCGCTGTTGTCGGGCTCCATACCATCGTCACCTTCATGAGGGCTAGTCCGTAGCGGATAGCCAAGTTCAAGGTCTTCAACGAAGCCTCTGCCAACCTTCCTTCAACACCACCTAGCCTAGTAGGGATCTCCTTTCCGAGTCGAAAAGACGCGCCTTAGCCTCGCTAGTCAAGCTTAAGGCGACGGGCGATCTAGACTGGCACTTGGAGGACCGTATGGGAATCTTCTTACGCAACGTATTGGACGGCTGTTGTCAGGGGGGGTCGGTCGGCAGGTAGGACGGGGAACACTCGGTCAGGCTGATCTGGTCTATTGCTACGGATAGGCACTCCTCAGGTAGGGCAGGCTCTATGTACAAGACGTAGCTCGAAGAGCTACAACAGAAGACGGTCGGGATCGCGACAAAATGCAAAGGCAGGCGCGAGTTCACGTGACTGCCAGGTGCAGGGTGGGTCCCCGCTCTTGACCAGCTGTGACAGGAACTAACTAATACTTAATAGCGTGGGGTTTTATTTTGATTTAGTATTTAGGTCGCTATAAAATAATAAGGACCTATAGATATTAGACTACCTTTCGGCCTTTACTTTAAGTACTAAGCACGAACTATAGGGTATTAACACACTATATTTACTTAGTAACGCTTTTATATACTTAGACTAAATACGCCGATTGTAATATGCTATACGAATCGATATATATTTATATTAAGTTAGGATACCATACTATAAATACGCAAGGTATAGTTCTATAGATATATCTTATATTCTAAAGGTAGCTTATAAACCGAATATTAAATCGTAATATCGTCCCGGAAATTACTAAGGTAGCGCCGGCGGAAATACTTAGTTAAGTCGCTTAGGCTATAGAACTCGTAAATAAGTCCTAGGATTCGAGGGTCTATAAGTAATAAGAAGCGAGCCTTCCTAATATACTAAAAGTAGCGAGTTAGTCGCTATTTTAAGTCTAAAACGAAAATAGAAAGTATAGTAAGCTCTAACGCGCTATACGCTATAGTTTCTCGGGCCGTTAATTCTTTCGCTACGCCGCTAGTATATACTCGAGCGATAGGCTCCTCCTTTATAGTATAATATACGATAAGAGTATAAATCGCTTTATTCCTCTATCTATACTAGCCTTTAAGAGTAAGCTATACTTTAACTATAAGCGCTTCTATTATTCTCTTTTATATAGGATATTAAAATTAAGTCTAAATATCCTCTAGTATAGGAGTAAACCCTTTATTATAATATTAGCGTTCGATATCCTTAATTACTTATTTATCGGTTTACTCTTCTCGAAAATCTTATAATATAATATTTTCCTTCTTTTACTTTAAGTTATATAATTTTCGATATATATTCTTATATAGTTTAGATCGTAGCTATCCTCTATAGCTAGCGTTATATCTTTATAATCTCTAGATCGTTCTCTATAGTTAAAACTTACTCTATTATTAGCTTAGTAAGCCGGCGTTAACTTATCGAATACGCGATACTATACGATTATATAACGAGTACTTAATTTAGGGTTTCTCCGAGAATAATAATAAATATATCGGTATATATTTCACGAGAAAGATAGTATCTCTAGAATAGCACCGAATTATTATAGCCGAGAGATAAGTTACGAAGTAAATCGCTTATATTAGCTTTAGAAGTTAATTAGTATTATTAAGAATATAAGGAAGGGGAAACTATATAGCTTTAATTAAGTTTATTACCTATAAGGTAGTATAATAAGTATATAATTATAATATATTTAATACCCTAAATTTTTCTTAGGGCTACGATCTATGCTCGTATTATAGAGTAAGTAATAGGTTTATTTACTAAAGTCTTATAGCTATTTAGTATCTTAGTAGCTTAGCGAAAAATAAAGATATCGTCTAGCTCCTATTTAAGAAGTAAGGGTAACTTATCCTCCCCGGGGTAAATAATTAATTACTTAATACCTTTTAGTTAGGTAAGACTTAGTGCTTAGAACGCTATATAACGAAATAAGATTATAAGTAAAAAGATATATATACTAAGGAATAATAATCGATAGAAAATACCTTCGGGAAGAATAAAAATATATCTATAATATTATAAGTATAAACGCGATTATAAGAAGATTAAACTCATAACCCTTTAGCCCTTAGGTATATTTTTATAAATTCTAGGGTAAATTTTATTATAAGGTTATAAGGCCTTCTTTCTAGATCTCTTATAAGAGTAACTTTAATATCCTTAAATTTAAGAAAAAGAATTAATACCGGTCGAGAGCCCCTAGGGGCGAGGAAGAGAAGAAATAAGATAATAAGGATATAGAGCTCGCTAAATTCGAATCGCTTTTTTATTATACTTAGCATAGTCTCGATCTAGGTTTTTAATATTTCGATAGTTATAAACTAATTCTTTTTCCTCGTAGTTTATAAAAAATATTTTTTTATAAGTTATTATAAAACTTATAAGGATTTAATATATAAATATATACTCTATCGCTAAGATAATATACTTTTAATATACTTTTAATATACTTTTATAAATATATACCTTAAAGTTCTATCCTATCGTTACTTTATATATAATTAATAAGTTCTTTTATTATATTTAAAAAAAGCCGCTTATTTTTATATTTCTTTTTAGTCTCTTATTTTTACTAAGTTTCTAGTATATTATTTATTTAAGAAAGGTTTTTATAATAAGGATAGAAATAAAATAAAAATGATTCTTAGACTTTAGGACTTAGTTATTAAATTTACTAAGGAATATTATTAAACTAATAAAGAAGAGGAATAATAAGAGATATATATTACTCCTATATAGCTTTAACCTTTCTAAGATATAGTCTTACTTTCTTAATATAACGTTAGTAAGTATCCTATTAGACTAAAGTTAATATACCTTAGCGATAGTACTTAGGTAAGTATATATTATTACTATAAAGTCCTTCCTCCCTATCGCTATCGGATTCGTCGTGTCCTAAATTTCTATATATAGTATCGTTATTAGCTAAATATTACTTTTCTTTTCTAGAAAATATAGACTCCTCCTTATTACTAAGCGAAGAAAAGAAGTTATAGTTATCTATACTTATAACCTTTTTAGAGGAGCTCTTAAATAGCGTGGGTTAGCTAAATATAATAAGAAAGTAAAAATAATATGGCTTATCTTAGTATAAAGTAAATAAGTTTATAAGTATAGTTAAAGTACGAATATTATACTTTATAAGTAAGTATAAGAGTTATTTTTAAGCGCTTAGGTAATAGATATAACGGGGTATTAAGCGAAAAAGGCCTATAAGATTAATTAAGGCGGGTTTAAGCCTATTACTTGCGATAGTATATTACTCGGTACGGGCGGGTACCTAAGCGAGGCATAAAGACTACGTCGTAGGCGAGAACGCTTAAAATAGCGCTAGATTTATAGCTTACGCGCCGCCAGGTTCGGTAGCTAAAACTACTATTTCCGGCGGTCTAAAAGCCGTCTTATTTTTTTATATAGTATAAGAGAGGGATTTTCTTTAGTATGTAAAGAGGGATAATAAAATACTAACTTATTTAGTATATCGGCTAGGATACTAGGAATAATCACTCTAGTAGCTTAAGATACTTCGGGGAGATAGACGGCCTAGTATACTACTAACGATAGTATTCTTACGCATAACGATATAAGAAGTATCGGTTTTCCCGACTATGAAATTAGTCGCGTAAGTAAGTATTTTATAAATCATAACTATTTCTACCTAGAGTATATATAAATTCCCCGAAGCAGCGCTTAGGCACTTACGCTCGTCTAAGCCTAGCTATCGACTTCTGCAGGTCGAGAAGATCAGGGCCAATGGCGTGGGCGATCTAATTGCCCTGCTTAGAGAGAGGAAGTTGTAGGACCACCAGATCGTCGTAGGAAACGGAAGGTAGCGGTGTCCGGTAGTAAGGTGTAACACGATAAGGACGTGCCTATGCTATTTTCTTCTATTCTTTATACTCATAATCGTAGCTTCTTTATAGAGGAGATCTAGCTCTATAAGATCAATAAGAATATATGTTTAGGCTATAGTATCTTATTAGCCGGTATTATTAAATTCAAGCAGGGATCTATTAAATTATTAGTCTAATAGAAGGACTCGAACGGAACGTCTCTTAAGACTTAGGAGGTTAAAGATAGGCTAGAGTAAGCTTTCATTATAGGCTTGCGCAAGAGTACTGAACTGACGTGCTAGGGACTCGCCTGCGTTAGAAGAGTATTTCGTCTGTCTAGGCGGACGCGACAGGTTATTCAAAAAACACGATCACTCTAGTATATAGTAAGCCTAGCTTCACCATAGTCAGTCTCTACCCAGCTTCTCAGCTATTAATACAATTATCTACGCTAAGATCTACTATCTAGCACATAGACTGTGACCTAACCGCTTAAGTCAACGACATCCTAGTGTACTTAGTTCATGAACCGACTTTAGATCTACTTGCCCTATAGCTAGTCTAACCGGAACGTTACGTCTATCTATCCGGTAGTTAGTCTAGACCCGAACGTTATACCTAGAGAGTGGGTTTAATATATATTATCTAATATATAGATAAGGAGCTACTACTAGGAGTGAGTTTAGTACTAGGCTATATTCTAGGCCGTGGGTAACCCTAGCTAAAGCCACTCCCAGGAACAACTCCCTAAAACTTAATAATCCTAGCCTAACACCGTCTGGCCCGAATCCCAAACACGCCAATACAGACCCTAATAGTGCTGTTGCCCCTGCACCGGCCTGTAGCCACCAGGATGGCACTGCGTATGCACTACTATCGCTCCATTCACCGCGCTCGCTAGCTTCTCACTCGTCCTCGTCGTCGGAACCATGTTGTCCTCGCCGATCCAGTCTCCAAGGCCCCGAGCCTGGAACATCACACGCAACACCTGCAGATTCTCATCTGCCCACCACGCCGCTGCTTCGTCGGGCTTCAGATTCCAACGTTTTCGAATCCAGTATACCACATCTGGCAGAGCGTATGAAAGCATGATGATAATGACGCCAAGCGCGAACGTCAGGACCAGACCAACGACACTAAAATTGAGTGTTCCCTTCGTCAACCGTGTCCGCTGCTGGCTGCACAGCTGTCGCTCGGCCTCGCGCTCCTCGCTCGTCAGAGCAGGCAAGAAGGGATCCTCAGTTGTCTCCCATGGCTGCCTGAGGACAATATTCGGAAGCAACACAGAGTCTCCGTCGGGATAAGCAGCTACCTGCAGCTGCAAGCGTGCTAGTGATGTGGTCAGCAGGCTCTCAACCTCACGTTCCCACTGGTCGTCTGGTAAGGGGAGGTGGACGTGGTTCAACAAGACCCTCTCCGACGCCTTGAGAAAGCTCCGTGTCCGAGTGTAGATGGTCTGGTACGTGTCGGTCTGATAAGCGGCGTAGGCAAGTATGTTCGCCAACGCGCGCTGCGTGGGATTTAGTTGTATTGACTCCCAAAGGTCACCGTGCTGGTTAAGCATCTGAATGACTCCTAGCCACGCTGTACACGTGTCCGTTGCGCCATTGCAGATTCGATGCTGGGTACTACATGCCAACGGCGTGGCATAGTCCCGGTGTTGGATAAGAGTACCCACTGGCTCTGGAAACTCGCGATCCATGGTCCCAAATACGGGATCACTGTTTGGCTCCGTGAAGGATAGCGCGTCAAGCGATATGAACATGATGACAGTGTCGGCGTCAGCCAAGTCGAGCTCCCGTAGAGGGGTCCACGTTTGCGTAGCCCCAGGACGCGAATATTGCAATTCAACATTGTAGCCCACGCGGGAATCTAGCGCGCACTTGTTGGAATGGAATGTATAATTCATGGCCACCGAGCCATCTTCGTAAAGACGAGGTCCGTAGTTGAGCTGAAGACGCCTGCACTCAGCGCCGGGGATGGGGTTGATTTCAAAAATGCCTCGGTCATCTCGGAGGGGAGCGCATGTGAGTTGTCGCTGGTATTGTACGCGGTCGCTAGGCGGCGTGTTCATACCCAGGTGTTGGTGCGAGTCCATCTTCGCGGATGACACCCGGTAAGCCATTCCATCAGTCCGGGCGCTACAGAGACTTCCAAAGGGGCAAGGCTGCTCGCCCATGGACTCCCATGCAAGCGAAGGGACAGGAAATTCCTGACATAAAGACGAGTCCCGAAGAGACTCGTTGTAGCACCGGTTCTCGTACACGGCGGCGGCGTCATTGAAGCGGGCATCAATTTCGCCTAGGGCCGACGACAACGGCGGGGCAGAGGGATCAAGACCGTACAGCCCGCAAGACGACGGCACCAGCAGCCGAAAATCTCCAGCCGAGGAACTGACGAGGGAGGAGAAGATAGATAGAAGGGCGGCGGCTATGCTGAAGCCGATAGCTAGCAGCGCCATAGGCAACGTTCGCCCAAAGAGGCGGTCTATACCCTCGGCCCGCCGCCAGTACCACGCCTGCCCGAGGAACTGAAGTAAGGCTTGTGTTGGCACCGCGGCATTGCGCAAGATGGCGCGTTGTTGAAAGTAGAGTCCGTCGCGGGGGACTTGGCACACACGTCGGGCGAGATGCTGGTGGATGGCGAAGCGGATCAGGATCCAGAGCTGGCTTGTGACCCAGGCGACGAAAACGGCGATGGCAGAGAGAAGGAGAGCGCCGTCGCGGGCCGAGAGGGTGATTGTTGCGCCGAGGATCCTGCCCTCGGACCAGTTGGTCCAGACGTGGAAGCCGGTGTCGATAGTCGTCATGGATGATGCTCTCGATAGTACAGGTAGAGGCGGCGGAGGCGAGGCGACTGCGTCAAGAGTATATGCCGTGCGATATTTCGCATAGGATCACGACTCTTCTCCCATATTCTCTTCTGGGGCATACGTATTTAATGAACATAGTGCTTAGTGGACAGCCTGTCAGCTTGTCAGACTGTGCCGAGACCATGTTTCTATGTAGTCAGGGGGGCTGCCCAGGCCGAGTCGCAGCTGCACTAAGGCTACCTAGATAGATGATTGGCAAACCCTAGTTGGTGGCTACTGCCAAGAAAAAGCCCAGAGCGTCCTAGGCATTTGGGGTTAACTAAGCCAGTTCTCGGCGCGAAGATGAAGGGCGCCCGACCGCCACGAGGCGCATCACAGGATCCACTAAGGTCGCCACTCGGTTCAGCTGCCAAGGGCTACCTGCCACAGCCTCATCTCTTCTACCTTAGTTCTCGCGTTTGATGTTTAGACACCACTTCCGGTCGACGCCGAGCCTCTTAGGGCCCGCTCAGCGCTGCATGACCGCAAGGGCAGTAGCCAGGAGGCTCGAGTCCAATCTTTTCATGGAAGCCATCATGTCAGAGATCTTGGAAGACCAGTGCTTGGAGGATAGAGTTTGATGGCTAGCTCTCAAGTCGACCTGGTTATGACGTTTGGGTTAGACTAGCTACAGGGTAGGTAGATCTGAGGTCGGTTTATGAACTAAGTATACTAGGATATCGTTAACTTAAGCGGTCGGGTTATAGTCTATATACGAGATAGTAGATCTTACGTAGATAATTATATTAATAACTAAGGAGCTAGTAGAGACTAATTATAGTAATATAGCTTCTTATATACTAAGGTAATTATAGAGTAATTACGGTTATATAAGAGTAATTAAGGGTAATTAAATATAATTAATTACCGTAGTCGTAGTATTAAGGGTTAGTAATTAATATAATTAATATATAATTAGTGAAAATAATAAGGTATACGTAAGAGTTATATATAAGGCGTATAGCGGTATATATAGTTATATTTAGGTTATAATATAATACTCCCTCTCTTATAATTCTATCCTAGAATTAGTTAAGACTAATCGTATTCTTTATTTCGTAGGTCTTATTTTTCTTTTTTTTTTTTTTAATATTAATATTATATTATATAGCTCGAAATAACTTCGCGAAGATTTATTTCTTTTAGTCTAAGAGTTTAGTTACGTTACTTAAATACCTTATACTTTTTATAAAGAGAAAGGATAAGGGAATTATTATAAGGTAATAAACGGTTATAATCGGTGCGCCGAATATACTTATCGTGGTCGTTCTTATAATATATCGGGCACTCCTTAGTCCGTAGGTAAGTCGTATTATTTTAGTTATTTTATTTATTAATTTTTATAATATCCCGTATTATCGCTAAGAAGCGTTATTTAAAGTCTGCTAAAGAAAATATTAAAAATAAGCTCGAGGAGCTCTAAAAGAAAATAAATAAGGATTACGCTTATCTTTATCGCTTATATCGTTAGTGCCGCGAGGTTTTTAAGAAAGGTCGCGATATAATCGCTCGGGGTTTCCGTAATTTAGATAAGTTAGAGGCTAAAGAATATAATAAGGCCGAGGCGGTGGCTAAGGTCTAGTTATTTAGTAGTTTCGGCGTTATTAATTAATTTACTATAAGCGAGCTTATAGATCTAGTATTATCCGAGCTTTTTAGAGTTCCTATCGATAGAACTTTCGTAATAGGTATCGGTAGTTTATTAAGTACTTAAGTAACTCTTATATATTTTCGTTATATATATAACCTTTTTATTTAATAAAATACTTAACTTCTTTATTAATAGTTTATTTATCGAGAATTCGTTTTAATTTATAGAGTTCTTTAAGAACCTCTAGTTCGTAGTTCGTTTTTATATATTATAGTGCTGTAACAATAGTAGGATAGATTAGGTAGGGAGAGAAGGTATAGGTAGTATATTCACAAAACTCAAACTTACTTCTCC